TATTGAGGGGTCGGCAGGGTCACATGGGACCTACGGGGACCTACTGAGGGGTCGGCAGGGTCACGGGGACCTACTGAGGGGTCGGCAGGGTCACGGGGACCTACTGAGGGGTCGGCAGGGTCACGGGGACCTACTGAGGGGTCGGCAGGGTCACGGGGACCTACTGAGGGGTCGGCAGGGTCACGGGGACCTACTGAGGGGTCGGCAGGGTCACGGGGACCTACTGAGGGGTCGGCAGGGTCACGGGGACCTACTGAGGGGTCGGCAGGGTCACGGGGACCTACTGAGGGGTCGGCAGGGTCACGGGGGGCCTATTGAGGGGTCGCAGGGGTCACAGAGCATCTGCTGAGGTTACTCCTGGGAGGGGATTACTGTAGGGTTTCTACAGCTGAGACAGGAGATTTCTGGAGGATTCCATGTCACACGCACAGAGCGCTCCCAGGGGCAGGCGGGACACGGGGAACATCACTGATCATGGTGACTAAGGGGGTGGGGGTCCCGGGCTCTCCCGACGGGCTGGGGCCAGGGCAGGAAGGAGTTGGTTGCTGCTCAGGTTCTGACACCGCGTGTGCCAGTCTGACTAGTTTTGGGGTGTGGTGGGGGGTTGTCTGCTTTCATGGGCCTTGGGCTGAGACCTGAGGCCCGACGTTATATTTAGTTTAACCCAGGCAGTTCCTGTGATCAGCAGGCCCACGGCTGTGTCCTGATGCCGACCAGACCGTCACTGTGCGTCTAATGGGCTTCATGCCTCAGGGAGTGGTCGTGGGAGGGAGGCGGCGGCGGTGAGTCAGCTGCTGGACAGAGGAGAAAAGGTCTCCTGGAAGACACGGGCTCTGCGAGGCCACAGGGTGGGTCCGGGAGCCGCGGGAGCCCTGCTGGCACGAGACGGGGAAAGAACTCAGGGTTGTGCCCGGCCAGCATGGCTCAGTGGCTGAACATCGACCTATGAACCGGGAGGGCAAGGTTCCGTTCCCGCTCAGGGCACAGGCCCCGGTTGCGGGCTTTCCCAGTGTGGGGCGTGCAGGAGGCAGCCAGCCAATGATTCTCTCTCACCATTGATGCTTCTATCTCTCTCTCCCTCTCCCTTCCTCTCTGAGATCAATAAAAATATATTAAAAAAATAATTCAGGGTCGTGAGAGCCAAGGGAGCCACATTCTGTTCTGAGACAAGGGGTGATCTTTCCTGGGGGTGCTGGTTGGCCTACGCCTGAGGCAATGCGTACACCGTACCTGGTGCAATGCAAGCAGCTCTAACTCAATGTACCTCCCGTCAGTGATGGGGGAGGGGGCACAGGGAAGCTTTAATCAGAGCACGTAACCCCCAGAAGTTGTACTGCAGACCCAGCCTGAATGCCGGTCCCTGACGCCCCGGTCTTACCGGCCGAGAGGAATTCAATGCAAGCCACATGCCTAAGGTAACGTTTCGGTGGCCACGTTAAAAAAGTAAAATATTTGACTTTGGGCAGTGAGCACGTGGTGCAATGTACGGATCTTGTCCTATAGAAATCCACACCTGAAACCTATATGTTCAGGTTGACCAAGTCACCCCAATAAATATAACGTAAAAAAAAAAAAGTAAAATAAGAAGTGAAAATAATTTTGGCAATATGGTTAAGTGAACCCCATATACCAGAAATACTGATTTCAACCCGTGATCAATGTAAACATTAATATTTCAGCTTCACTTTGCGCGAAGCCTGGGACATCCTGCAGCCACGCACACGGGCCGACAGGCAGGGCACTGCTCCAGCCTCCAGGCCTGACCCCTTCCCCTTCCCTCCGACAGCAGCGCACAGCCTGGACCTGCCGCAGCAGGGTGTCGCCTGCCATTGGCTCAGGACCTCTCGCAGCGGTTCTCAACCTGTGGGTCGCGACCCCTTTGGCGGTTGAACAACCCTTTCACAGAGGTCGCCTAAGACCATCCTGCATATCAGATATTTACATGACGATTCATAACAGTAGAAACATGACAGTTATGAAGTAGCAACGAAAATAATGTTATGGTTGGGTCACCACATGAGGGACTGTATTTAAAGGGCCAGAAGGTTGAGAACCACTGTTAGGGCCTAAGAGGACCTGTCAGTGGACCCAGGGCAGGTCCGCCGCTGCACTTCCACCGCCGCGCCGCCGGGCGTCGCTCTTTCACGCGCGCCTGGGACGTGGGCGGGACTTCCGGGTGCGCGGAGGCACAACTTCCGGAGGGAGGCGGAAGAGTCGCTGGCTCTGCGCTGGGGTGTCCCGGGACGGCTGAGGGCCCCCCGGGGTGCAGGAGAGAACCGCCGGGGCGGGCCGGCCGCGCTCGGGGTGTCGGGGCCTCAGGCCTAAGGGATGAGGAGGCGCCATGTCCAGCG